AAAAAAGAAAGAAAGAATATTAGGAAGCTCCATATACCCAAATACCCAGCTTCAACAATTATTGCTATTTTATTTAAACATATGTAATTTAATAATTAAGAGTCTTGGTGTGGCACTATGGGTTAATGTGCTGGACTGCAATGTCAGTTTGAACCACAAGGTTGGCAGATCAAGTTCGCCAGACGCTGCCCGGAAACCCTGTAGACTCACTATGAGTTGGAATCAACTCAACGGCACTTAACAACAACAACAGCAATATAGACATGTATAAGTATCATGCCTTTTCTTTAGAGTTTAAGAGCCTTAGTAGAAACAGAAAATGACCCAATGATTTTCCAGTGTTATATAAGTACATAATGGAATTTTAAGTGCCATTGTCACATGACTTCTTCCTGCTTTCAGGTGGTACAATAAGAGCATCAACCGTGACAAAGCTGAAAAACTTCTAATGGACACAGTGAGTCTTCTTATCTTTTCTTTCAAATTAAAATAAAATGAATGGTGGTGTTTATTCAACCATGCTGTGGTTTATGTGAACGCAGTGGGTTGACATATTGGTTTAATAGTTGTTTTCATATCTGGTGACAATAATCTGGATGGGTGTTTACAGAACTAACAAATGACAGGACTGTCCAGTAACCATTACTTTTAATGATTATCTTTGGGGGTATAAATGGTTAATACACCCAGCTGTTAACCGAAAGATTGGAGGTACACACCCACCCAGACACTACTCAGAAAAAAGGCCTAGTGATCTACTTCCAAAGAACCAACCATTGAAAACTCTATGGAGCATAATTTTAGTGGCACACATGAGGTCACCAAGAGATGAAATTGATTTGACAGCAACTGGGTTTTTGTATTTGTTTGCTTTTCAATATTTTGGACAGTGGCTTTGATGAGCATGACAGAAAGGGATGTGGAAGAATGTCTGAAAAGGAATGAAAAGCTGTAATGAGAAGATGAATACTGTCAAATAATAATTCAAAGGCATATAGTTTATTGTTGTTGTTGTTAAGTGCCATCAAGTCATTCCAACTCATAGCAAGCCTGTAACTGGGGAGTTTGAACCACCAAACCTTGAGGTACTTCTCCTACAGTGCCATATAATTCATTATTAAGTGCTGTCGAGTCGGTTCCAAATCATAGTGACCCTGGGTAGGGTTTTCAAGGAGTGTCTAGTAAATTTGAACCACCAGCCTGCAGTTCAAACTGACCTTGTAGTCCAGTACTTACTTTCTACCGTGTCACACCAGGACTACAATTTACTATTAGCATTCAATTTACTTTGTACAAGAGAAACTGGCAATAGATTAATTTCATCAATCAAAGGTAAAACCATAATTTCTATAGGAGTTACTGTCATTCTCATAGTCACTATAGGAAGGAGTAGAACTGTCCCGTAGAGTTTCCAAGGCGTAATCTGTATGGAAACCGACTGCCACATCTTTCTCCTGGGGAGCAACTAGTGGATTCAAATCACTGACCTTTTGGTTAGCAGCCAAGCACTTTATCCACTACACCACCAGATTTCCTTTAGCAGGAAAAGGGAAGGGGAGAGGATAAAGCCATATGTAGGAGCAGTGGAGTTTGTTTTTTGCTTTCTTTGGGCAGCTTACTTTTAGCAAAGAAAACAAATTCAGTTGCTCATGGATTCTCCAAAACACCCTCTGTGTTTTTCTGTAACACATGCATAAGAGACAATAGCTACATCACACCTGTGTGTTAGCATCCATCTCAGGAATGGCAGATCTGCCCGTTTCCTGTATTAGGATTTCTCAGCATTCATTCAAGTACCTTGCCATTTTGTTGAGCACAGGTCTAGACACTTTGTGGTGTTTGAGGCAAGAACTTATCCTCAGTGAACTTTATACTTGCTTGTGAAAGAAGACAGTGTCTGAAGAAAAGTTATGTTGTTGTTAAGTGCTGTCAAGTCCATACAGACTCATAGCGACCTTGTATAGTGTTTCTGAGGAGTGGCTGGTCAGCTTGAACTGTCGACCTTGCAATTTAAAGCAACCATGCAGTCCAGCGCATTAACCCACAGCACCACACCAGAAGAAAGGTATAGAACAATCTAAAATAAACCATGAGCATTCAGGACAGGCTCACATTTGGAGTACAGAGAAGCCTCAAAAGGAATTGAGAACCATTTCAAGGAGACAGAGGAACTGACTGAGACATATTGTGAAGGGCTTTGGTTTGGTTCTGCAATGATTCAGCATTTTTAAGTTGTTTCCTGTGGTTCCCAATAGACCACACATTAGAATCACAGGCAAGATTCTAAAATAAAAAAAAATAAAGAAAGATCCCCATTTGCCATTGAGGCCTACAGACTCAAGATCTCCAGATTTAATTCCTATTTTGTTTTGTTTTGTTTTTACAAGTCAAACCTGTGATCCATATGTGACAAGTCCAAACCCTCCATCCCCAACCTGTGTAGTTGTTGTTAGGTGTTGTGTTGTTGTTAAGTGTGGTCGAGCTGATTCAGACCCATAGCAACCCTGCATAGGGTTTCCGAGGAGCACCTGGTGAGCTTGAACAGTCAACCTTATGGTTCAAACAGACTTTGCAGTCGAGTGCATTAACCCACGGCGCTACACCAGGACTCCTACAAACACTGGATATTCCCAGGCAGTCTACCATGCAAGTGTTAACCAGGCCCGACCCTGCTTAGCTTCCAAGATCAAACAAGATCAGTTGCAATCAGGGTCGTATGGCCATAGACTGTGGAGCAATCCTATTTATAACAGGACAAAACACTTCCCAGTCCTGTACCATCCTAGCAATCATTCCTGTGTACACCCACTAAAGTATTATTAGGTGCCATAGTAAAACTGGCCAATAAGGACTAAATAAGGGGAGTGTAAAATTAATTAAAACCTGATTTATACTGTGTTTAAACAAGTGCAGGTTTTGTTGTCATTTTCAATCACTCATCAGTTAATGAAGTGTTGTTGATTTCAATTCATAGCAATACTATTGAACAGAGTAGAATAGTTTGGGGTTTCTGAGACTGTAAATCTTTATGGAAGCAAACAGCCTCCTCTTTCTCCAAAAGACCAAGTCTTCACCTGTTGCTCCACCAAGACTCGTTAAAGCAACTCATATTAATGACTATGTGGCGCTGTGGGTTAATGCGCCAGATAGCAAAGCCGTCTGAACTGCAAGGTCGGCAGTTTAAGCTCACCAGCTGCTCCTCGGAAACCCTATACAGGGTCGCTATGAGTCATAACTGACTCGATGGCACTTCACAACAACAACAAGGATGTATAGGATCAGCACTGGACTATGAACCACAAGGTTGACTTTTTAAACCCATCAGCTGCTCCTCAGAAACCCTATTGAGGGTCACTATGAGTTGGGACTGAGTGAATGGTACTTAACAACAACAAAGAGGGTTCCTATTTTACAACAATTCTTTTTGAGGAATTTATAGGGATTTTATTTTCTAGTCAATATATTGGTGGTGGTGGTGTGCGGTGGAGTCGGTTTCGACTCATCGCTACTCTGTATAGGGTTTCCGAGGCTGTAAATCTTTACGGGAGCAGAAAGCCCCGTCTTTCTCCCACTGAACAGCTGGTAGTTTCGAACTGCTGACCTTATGATTCGCAGCCCAATTCGTAACCACTACACTACCAGAGCTCCTCAAAACATTACTCCCTTCTAATAGTCTGACCTACTTTATCAAATCTTCTTTTCCTCTTCAGATAATAGAGGGCAAACTTCAGTGGGTCCTTGTCGAGTCTCAGATTCTCTACAACTCTGGAAGTGAATGGTGTTTTCTTCCTTTTTTTTTTTTTGCTTGCCTGCTGTTTGAAACAGTAGCTAAAGAGTTTCCTTGTTGAGTCATAGTGACACTGTATAGGGTTTCCAAGAGTGGCTGGTAGGTTTAACTGCTGACCTTGTGGTTAGCCATTATTGTTGTCATTAAGTGCTGTTGAGTCTATTCGGACTCATAGCAACCCTGTGTAGGGTTTCCAAGGAGTGTCTGGTAAGTTTGAACCACAGACCTTGTGGTTCAAACAGACCTTGTGATCCAGAGCTTATCCTACAGCGCCACACCAGGATTCCTTGTGATTAGCAGTCCAGTGCATATTCTATAGCTCCACACCAGGACTCAAAGAATTTCATGGGTGGAGTCCTGGTATGGTGCTAATGCGTCAGACTGCAAAGTCGTTTGAACTGCAAGGTTCAAGCTCACCAGCTGCTCCTTGGAAACCCTCTACAGGGTCGCTATGGGTTGGAATCGACTCAACAGCACTTTACAACAACAACAACAACATTTATAAACCAGTTGTTGAGTCACTGTGACCCCTAGCAATTCAGTGTGTCAGAAGAGAACTGTGCCCCGTAGGGTTTTCAGTGGTTGATTTTTCAGGATCTAATTTCCAGGCCTGTCTTCTGGGTTGCCTCTGGGTAGACAAACCTCCATTCTTTCAGTTAGCAGCCAAGCATGTTAACTGTTTACACCACCCATGGACTCTGAGTCTATTTTTATTGTTGTTGTTAGGTGCCAACAAGTCGGTTCCAAGTCATAGCAACCATGTGCACATTAGAACAAAATACTGCTCAGTCCTGTACCATCCTCACCATTGCTGCTGCCACTGTGCCAATCCATCTTGTTGGAATGTATTTAGTGTCCTCTTATGGACCAAATGTGGAGTCCTGGTGTGCACTGTCAGATAAGCATTGGACAGCTAACCACAGGTAGGCAGTTCAAACCCACCGACTGCTTCTCAGAGGCTCTGCACAGGGTCACTCTAAGTTGGCACCAACTGGACAGCATTTAACAGCAACAACAACATCGTATCTATCTATCTATCTATCTATCTATCTATCTATCTATCTATCTAT